CAGCAACATAGATGAGCCTTGAGGATATCATGTCAAAGTGAAACAAGCCAGGCACAGAAAGAGAAATACCGCATGATCTCCCTCATATGTGAAATCTAAAAGGTTGTCCTCATAGAAGTAGAGAATAGAATGGTGGTTAACAGAGGATGGGGAAGGTAAGGGGAAGAAGAGATAATGAAAGATTGGTCAACAGATATAAAGCTATATAGTTAGATAGAGGGAATAGGGTCTGGTGGTCTATTGCATAGTAGGATGACTAGAGCTAACAATATATTGTATATCTCAAAATAGCTAGGAAGAGAGGTTTCTGGATCTTCTCATTACAAAGAAATTATAAGATGATGGATATACTAATATTCCTGATTTGATTATTATACAATTTGTACGTGCATTGAAACATCACATTGTACTCCATAAATATGTACAATTATTGTATGTCTATCATAAATTTTTTTTAAAAAATTTCCTGGGAAGCTTGTTAAAATGCAAATTCCTTGGTCTTACTCTAGAAGTACAGGATAAACATCTCTGGGAGCAAGGCCAGAGAAAAGGTGATTTCAAGACAGATGGTCTGGAGCACACTTCAAAAATAGTTGCTCTAGGTTAGTATCAGAGAAAATAATGATGTCATGTCAGTAGTATCCTTTGAGCATAAAGAAAAAAAGATATTCAATACATTGTGTGACAATGATTCTGATGGAATAATAGTTCAAGATATCTGCATCCTGGTTCCAAATTCACTAATTATAAAACTTTGGGTTAGTTGTTTTACCTCTTGTGGCACCATTTTACTCACACTGCAATTGGAAGCTTTTGATAGATTGTAAGCAGGGAAATGACATGATATTAATTATATTTGTTGCTGACTAGTGACTGGAATAAAAACAGTGGGACAAGATTGAGCATGGCAGGCTGGGTGCAGTGGCTCACACCTGTAATCCCAACACTTTGGGAGGCTGAGGTGAGTGGATCACTTGAGGTCAGGAGTTTGAGACCAGCCTGGCCAACACAGCGAAACCCCATCTCCACTAAAAATACAAAAATTAACTGGGCGTGGTGGCGGTTGCCTGTAACCTGCTACTAGGGAGGCTGAGGCAGGAGAATCACTTGAACCCAGGAGGCCAAGGTTGCGGTGAGCCAAGGTCGCGCCATTGCACTCCAGCCTGGGCAACAAGAGTGAAACTCTGTTTCAAAAAACAAAAACAATAACAACAAAAAGATTCGGCATGGCATATCAGTGAATAGGCTACTAAAATAGACTAGGTGAAGGATAATGGTGGCTTAGAATAGGCTGTAGGCAGTAGAGTTGGAACGAAGTGAATGAATTTTGAGATTTATTTCGATAGGATCAGTAATAGATTGGATGTTAGCTAACAGAGAAAGAGAGGTGTCAAGGATGACTCGTAAGTTTCTGATTTTGTGATGAATGGTTGAGGTTCTTGGAGGGTATGAATTGATTGCAGGTTCAAGTGATCGAGTTTGAGGCCAAGAATAGATGGATAAGAGCTAAAAGTTTGGGAGGAAATGGAGGCATTGAGGGATTTGAGGTCTCGTTGAAGTGAAAAAGTAGATAGAGTCAGAGCAGGCAAACTGAGAGGGTGGGAGACTGTGGTCAGAGAGTAGGGTACTGGTGGACATATCCACAGTGGAGCAGTGCTGATTGATGATCAGCTCTGAGTTGGCCATGGGCACAGTGAGCTGAGGTGGAATGGACGTGGAGGTCAGTGAAGGTAGAGAGGTCAAGGAGCTGATGGGCCAAGATGCTGTCTGGGTTGTTTGGGGTAGAGAGACAACTGTGATCCAGGGCCCAAAACCATCAGTGCACTTGGGATAGTGACCAACTTAGTAGACGAGGGTAAACAAGGAACAACTGGATGACAGGGACATTAAGGGAGCCAGAGCTTTTTATATGAGTGAAGGAGAAATAATAGCTTGGAACCTATGCTGGGGAGCCTTTAAAAAACAATCCTGCCCTTTGATATGTGGGTTGTGAGAGAAGGAACCCCTCTGTTTTTGAGATCGTATATTTCAATTTAAAGCAGAAGTTGTGGGATCAGATGAAGAAGCTTTGTAAGTGGCAAACATGCTGTCATTTTTTTCTGTGTGTTTGATGTGTTACATATTTTGGTTCCAGATGTAATACTTGACTTTTTCATTATTAAAAATTTTATCGTTATGCATATTGAAATATTTATGGACGAAACGCTATGATGTCCCGGATATGCTCCAAAATAACATAGGGTGGGTAGGGGTGATAAATGAAGCAAGATCAGCCATGTATTGATGATTGCTGAAGCCTAGAAATGGGTAAATGGAGGTGCCTTAGCTATTCGGTTTTTGCATATGCTTGAATTTTTCCTTAATAAAAAGTTAAAGAAACCACTTCATCTTTATAGATTCAGCCCTTTGCTTTGACTGGTATCTTTTTTTTTTTTTTTTTTTTTTTTTTGAGGGGGGGTTTTTGCTTTTTTTCCCCAGGCTAGAGTGCAATGGTGTGTGACCTCGGCTTGTGGAAACCTCTGGCTCCCGGGTTCAGGTGATTCTCCTGCCTGCCTCAGCCTCCTGAGTAGCTGGGACTACAGGCATGCGCCACCATGCCCAGCTAATTTTGCATTTTTAGTAGAGACGGGGTTTCTCTATGTTGGTCAGGCTGGTCTCAAACTCCCTACCTCAGGTGATCTGCCCGCCTGGGCCTCCCAAAGTGCTGGGATTATAGGCGTGAGCTACTATGCCCAGCCTTGACTGGCATTTTCATATTCTTTGTTAGCCTCTCCTATCCCTTTCCACAAGGTTCACAGGGACAGGTATTTATCCCCATTTTACTGATAAACTTCTCCGACACTGTTAAGGAACTTGCCCACAAGTAAATATCTGTTTAGTGGCAGATGTAGGACTGAAACTTTATGTTCTCTTGACTTCTAGACTAGTACATTCTACCACCTGATTGAGTGAGTTTGTGTTTCCATTAGTAGGTTGTTAAAATTCAGAGCAGTTCTCTAGGGACTTTGATCTTGGTAACGGAGTCTTCATTTGATTGCAGGTCTGACAAAGTGAGATTGTCCTTGCACATGCTATTCCTTCACATGGAATATTGATCCCCATCCCCTGGTTCACCTAGTTAACATCTACATACCCTTCAAAGCTCAGTTTAGTTCCTCTCCCTTTCCCTCTCCCTGTGCCATCCCAACAATCATTCCCTCCTTTGCATTAGTTCTGTATTCTTGTTCAAACCTTTGCTATTTCATATATCACAATGAATTATAAATGTGTGTCTGTGTGTGGTTTTCTGTAATAAACTAGAATCATGGACTATTTTTAAATTTTGTATTCTAGGGCCATCTACATAATGGCACTATCTAGTAAGTAGTTATTCAACAACCCACATGTGCCTGAATCCATTGGTAGAGGTTACTAGCAAATAAAAAAACATGGAGACGAAAATACATACCATGGGCTTGGTTAGTTTGTGCATCTAAAGAGTGGGCATTTGTAATGTGTTATAAAATTTTGGTGCTGTGGGGAACATTTTTCTTCTTGGAAACTAAGTCCTGTAACACAGGGCTCTTCACTGAAATACCAGGGCAGTTGCCAGTCAATGTAAAAAGTGATCTAAGACCAAACCATTTACATTTTTTCTCCAATAAAAACCTTCCTGCAGAATAAGATGGAGGTGGGAAGCAGGACATTTTTTTTTTCTGCCACTGTGTAACTCATATAGGGTGTGCAGATCACTTATCTCAATAGGAAATGCACACAGAAAGGGAGAGATGAAGTACCATGCAGATGCCAGATCAGTTATATAACTGGATAATAATATCTAGAAATGCTCCTACAATGCAATTTAACACCTTTTTTTTTTTTTTTTGAGACAGTCTTACTCTGTCTTCTAGGCTGGAGTGCAGTGGCAAGATCTCGGCCCACTGCAACCTCTGCTGCCTGGGTTCAAGCGATTCTCCTGCCTCCGTCTCCCAAGTAGCTGGGATTACAGGCACCTGCCACCACACCTGGCTAATTTTTGTAGTTTTAGTAGAGATGGGGTTTCACCATTTTGGCCAGGCTAGTCTCGAACTCCTGACTTCACGATCCACCCGCCTCAGCCTCCCAAAATGCTAGGATTACAGGTGTGAGCCACCGCGCCTGGCCAATCTAACACATTTTTGAAGGAACATTGGCTTTTTCTTCCAACAAGTGACTGCCCCTTAAGAAATGGGCACAATACATTTCTGAAAAGAATGCTTTTCAAAGCTTTGTAAGAAGGTCTGGTGAACTTAATACCTTATCTTCTTTGTCCTGAAAAAGAGGGAAGGCTTTTATCCATACGGTTTTCAAAGCACTCATCATAAATATGGAGGGAATCAAGTCCAACTTTAAGAAAAATCAAATTTACAGTTGAATGAATTCTAGACCCCCTACCCTATCCCTTTTGCAACACCCATCAAGTCTATTTCCCTGTGAAAACGTGTCATTTCAAAGTCCTTGGGGATCCTTGCCTCACCAGTCAGGTTTGGAACTCATTGGTAAACAGGAGGCACAGAAAGGGCAGTGTAAAGGCAGCCTTAACATTTTCAGTGAAGAGCCAACTCGTTTGTGGTTTTGATTTGTTTTTAATAACAAGCTCCCTCAACCAAAACTGATGAATTGGCATCAGAACAAGGGTACAAAAGGAATATCAAGGGGCCTTCCAAAATGCTAACCAAAGGATGAATTCTCTGCTTTGGGTGGCCATCATTTTATCCCTAGAAACCAGGAGATAAAAAGATGCAAAGCTTTTAATATATGCTGCCTGAGTATATAAAGAGACCGATTAGAGCATGTGGCCTGTGGTGTTGTCTTAATACTTTATAATCTATAATCACATTCCATACTTCAAGCAAATGCAAATTCTGCTGCACGCTGCCCTTGAAAGGCAATTTCACTGCATACTGAATTGAAAGTAATCACTGATACAGCACAAATAAAGCCTCTGTCGGGTAAACACCAAAGCATTTTCCACACGGTACTGCATTTTAAAATAGCTAACTTTATTGTCAGTGAAAAGATAGGCACAAAGTGGATTTAAACCTGCTTAACTTTATTGGAACTAGCTCAGTTGATTACAGAATGGGGTCACAATCATTAGGGGACCACATACATTTTAAACCAAAGGCGATTCTTCTCTAGCCATCTGCCAACCCCAGCTATCCATTTTACAAACACATGCCATTAATCACAAGGGAGGCCAGAAGGAGGTTTCATGGCTCCATGTAACCCATCGTTGCTACTGGAAAAAAATAAACAAACTCCCGACACTTGTCCTACTGATGATGGATGGCACTTGGAAGATACATTTCCAAGAATCGTGGCAGGCTGAAATTGGTGGCAATTAGCCCACAGCTGATATCTTCCTTAGAAAACATTTTCAGTAAGAATGCACATGTTTTAAGTAACATACTCCATATACGCATAAGCAATTGAGATAATAGGAGATTGTGTGGCTAACAGATATGAGAATATAATTGATCAAAGTTAGTGCATATGTATACACTTTAAGCTGCCGCATTATCAGGGTTTAGGCTTGTCATAAAAAGTAGTTTGCACAATCAATCAGTTTGTTCATCTTCCAATTGTTATACCCACTCAACTGTGTAACAACAAAAACAGAACATGACGGGTCTCTGGGTATCTTTCCTATGGCAGATGATGGCAGATATTTTAGGTTCCTGCTGTCCTATTACCTTGAAGCTCAAAAGCAGCATTAAAAGGAAATCCTTCATTAAATCAACAATCAAGATGCATGATTTTAAAAGAAAGCTCAAGCTACTTTAATTTCAAAAAAGACTGTTAATAGGAGTTTCATATCAAGTAAAGTTTGTTCTAATGAAGTTTTTCTATACATGGAACATTGGAGTACAACTGACTTAGAAGGTCCTCAGAGACCACCAAGCAGTACAAGCTAAGACAACCTGGTCACCCTCCTTTCCTGAGGTGCCAGTAAAATGCACAGATAGGTAGGAGTCCAGAAAGAGCCCCCAAATGTTACATCCACACAACTGTGAAAAGGTGGCTAATTGAGATTTCTCCCATAAAGTTGAATTTTTGGATCAACAACTAGTGGAGATCTTCTGAAAAGGCTCTATCTATGTTCTGCATAATATACTGACATACACTTCTTTCCTCTCTTAGATGTACAATGTTATTTTAGCAAATTATCTGGGATTGGAAACTGAGCAGAGAGGAACTGTCTCTGGTATGAGAGGACAGATAGGTTCTGGAAAGTTCAAAATAGTACTTAACCAAGAACTTCTTCCTTTCCCCCAAACACATGAGTCTAAAGAGATGGCTACCACACAATGTGGAATGTATGACATTTGTCACCTTGCAGAATGTGATTAAAATCATGGTTTCCAGAGCCAGCAAAAAGTCTGCCAATGTGTTATAACCATGAAAGGAGTAGGTGAAAAGTGTTTTTAAATTATTTATTTGGATAGAAAGTAGCTCTCCTGAAGTTTGCTACTTGCTGCTTCTACTATTTGAGGTTATTTTTCTCTTTACGACTAAAGGGTAGTATGAAAGAGTCTTAACACAACTGCATTTTTAATTTCTATCTGAGATTCACTTTATAACTGAGGACTAATGTGTATGTAACATGATTACCTCATTATTGAAAATGTGAAAGGACTAGCTGAAAATCACATCATCCTTCCTTTATGTCTCTCTTTCTCTACACACACACACACACACACACACACACACACACACACACACACACAGAATAATTCCTTTGGAAGATAATTAGGAAAGATATCATTCCTATACTCACAGAGGAACCCCAAAAGATTATCTAAGATACCCAATCTCCTAGTAAGAAGTGGGATTGGTTTCTTAGGGGGGACATTTATGTGACTCGATGTTGTAATGCAGATCAGAAAAGGGAACACCTTTTAAAAGGCACTGAAGGAGAGGCAAGACAGAAATTCAGTAGTTTGTCAAGACTGGACAAGCTACTCCAGCCAGGGACATTTTACAAGATACATATTCCCTGGACCATGAAGATGAAGATATCTTTTCGTAAAATGGAATTAAAAAAAGATAAGAGTTTCCCAAAATAAGCATGGTGATTGGCATAATGGTTAGCTGTGTTGTGTGACTTTTAAAAAGTCACTGAACCTCTCCAGTTCTCAGATTCCTCATCACTAAAATGAGGGGGTAGGGCTATATTGCTAAAGTTCTCTCCCACCACTATGGCTCATGATGTAATATAACAGGCCTACTCTTCTATTAATCTGGTTTCTAACTAAGACATCCCAAAACCTCTACCCCCCCACCCTTACCTAACACCCCCCCCACCTTCCCTCACCCTCCCTATACCCCTTAAAACTGATCTTAATGATGCTATCTGCAGATTTGTCACCTTAATGAAGGGCAGACAGGTGACACAGGGCAGGGACCTGTGGCAACTGGCATCCTTCTGTGTTCTTGGAGGCAGCCCTATGGCAAGGCTTGGAACCATTGCCTCCTTTGATCTCTACCCACATGCACATTTCCCGCTGCTTCCCAAAGGTATTCCAAGATGGAGTCACTGACAGTGAGAAGAGGTAGTTGAGGATACTGCTGCAATCCACCTCTCCCCCGACTGCAGCATAGTACTTTGGGTTTCTCATGTTATTCCCTTGGAGATGATAGTCAAAAATGTCTTTTAAGACATATGCTTAGAATCTGACACACAAAACAAGTTATTTCAAAGTAGTCACCAGAAATTCAAAGCATTCAACCTGTCAACAAAGATCCTTCCTCATTTTGCAAATGATTGGCAATTTGAGACTGGAGCCCCAGTCAGTGAATCTGTGCTGTAGAAGAAATAAACACTAAGCTGATTGGTCTTAATAAATGCAAGCAAGCTGTGTTCATGGCTACACACAGACCATGAAAGTCTGCATATAGCACCTCACGCAACTCTCCATCAAGGCCTCTGATGGTCTAACTCCCTAAGAGAGAGGAAGTTGTGCATCATTCAGTTAATGTACTCTCTCAGCATCTGAAAGCAATATATTAATTATCCAAGTGCATAAATTATTCCACAGCATATATATGAATGTATGAACCTCCAGGAGGGAACCAAAAGAATCCATTTCCAAAGCACCACTGAAATGAAGACAAACACAATTCCCTGGGGCAGGGTAGCTGGGAAATTGGAAGAAAAAATTAGCTCCAGCACCCTTCTGCACCCCAAAACTCCCTACCTTTTTTCCAGCTTACATAGCTCCTGAAACTATTCCCTTTTATAAGCCTGAGGTGAGAGCTTTCTCCGGCTGCTGCACAGGATAGTAACTATACAAAACAGCACACACTCAATTCTCTCCAGCTTCCCACTTCCAAACTACGTGTTACACACTGTCTTCCACACATACTGTGCTCTTCAATTAAAAATGATCTAGAATATGGAAATTTTAAACAAATTTAAGCACATTGAAAACACTGATGTATGCCCACCCGTTAACAGTCCCAGTATTTGTATAAATTCAAACAATAAGCTTTAGAGCACATTCTGATTAATCTGTCTTTAGAGGTACTCCCTAAGCATACCAGAATAGACTGGTGGTTCACATGGTATTACTCAAGTAGTACATTGTTCCAACAAAAAGTCCTGTTAAAAAACATCCCCTCCCCCCAACCCTTGTCCTCACCCCCAAAACAAGAACCAATAAAAGGGGGAAATGATTAAAAGCATTTTTGCTGAGAAACTGCAGCTCTTGATTTGGCCGTTTAGATGAGATATTCCACCATCTCTGCATCAGGCTCTTGTCCCAGGATCTGAATGGGAGTTTTTCTTTCCAGAGTATTGGAGTGGAACACAGGCCCATCTAAATGGAAATAAGGGTTAGAAAACACTTAGGGATGAAGAAAAAACCTGTATTTCTAGAACTAGACACCATCAGAGCCCTCATGAAGCCAATGGCAAAGTGAGACTTGTCACCTCCCTCATTTGCTTCTGCTAAGATAATGGCCTCTACTCATGCCTGTTCCCATCTTGGTGGATGAGAAGTCATTTACAGACTCTCTTCTCTCTCCCTTAGAACATGAAAAACTCAGTCCAAAGGATAACTCTGCCCAGACATCAGGCAACAAGAAATAAATCTGTATTTGAGAGCAGAACTAAACCAAAAGTTACCTGCTAAAGGGAATAATTACCTGCTTTGTCTGGATTGCAGGTCATACTTGGTATAGACAAACGATGTGGTCCAGGACCGGTAGCTGGACTTGCAGGAACCTCAGCCTGAGCCACAGCTGGAGTTGGAGTTGGAGCTGGAGTTGGAGCCGCAGCCGTAGCTGAAGTTGGTGCCTGAGTCTGAGCAGGAGCAGAAGCCTGAGCCGCTGCTGAAGCCGGAACTGGAACCAGAGCCGGAGCTGGAACCGGAGCCGGAGCAGCTGGAGCAACCTGAACAGCAGCAGCAGCAGCAGCAGCAGCAGCAGCAGCAGCAGCAGCAGCAGCAGCAGCAGCAGGAGGAGGAGGAGGAGGAGGAGGAGGAGGAGCAACGGCAGCAGCTGAGGCAACAGAGGCAGCAGCTGGAATCTGACCAGCAGCAGCTGGAGAAACAGCAGCAGCAATAGCAGCAGCGGTGGCTGGAGACGGGGCAGCAGCAACAGCAGCAGCAGCAGCTGGAGCAGCAGCAACAGCAACTGGAGTAGCAGCTACCATGGTGGTGGTGATAGTGGCAGCAGTGGCGGTGATGGCGGCAGCAGTGGCGGCAGCAGCAACTGGAGCAGCAACAGAGATGGGAGCAACAGTTGCAGTTTTGTTCGATTCCGTCCCACGTTCAGTTTGGGTACTGCAGTCTCGGCTGCCTGTCTTGGAGTGAGCCGAGAGCAGGGGAGTCGAGGGGGGCACAGGCGAGGGTGTGGAAGGGACATATTCAGCACGGTAGTCTCCACCCAAGAGAATGCCTACAAATGAAAGAGGAACAGACATTAGAAAAAAATAGGTGATTCAAATCCAGACATCTAATTACCTGTTCTCCCATTCAAATTTCAGAAGAAATTTGAATGTGTCTAAATTATTTATTTTTGCCTCCAGGGAACCCAGAAATCAGTGTGTGAGGCTCCTCCAACCATGGCTAAAAGTTTCTTACAGACTTCAAAGATCCCTTCTGGTCCTCATCCATCACCTGGCACAACATACTAAGCCTGTAAGTGACCTGGGTATCTGTTTTGATTTATTTTTCCAATGGTGATTGGGTTCCACCAAGTTGTCAGAATGCTCCTACTCGGCTCCACTTATAAACCATTACCACACATTACCAGGGAGCAAGAAAGGATTTGGAGAAGAAGTCTATTGACACAGATTAAGTGTGGTAATAATTGTGTGATCTAAGGTTCTCACCATGACCATAGTCTCCAAAATGCTTATTCTAACCAAAAAATATTATAAGTATCCAGGACCAAGAAAGGAATTAAAAGCAACAAAAAGGGTTAAAATAAAAATACATATAAGCTTCCTTCCTCAGGCTCTAAAAATGTGCCCGTGGTATCCACAATATGTCTGGGGTTTTGATTAGAGGGGAGGGAATGGACAGGAATGGAATGAAAAAGTACATTCTGTTCTCATCTCAGAACACTGTGGGAACAAAACCTGCTACCCAAACGATTTAGCATAACTAAAACTCTGGGTTCTCCTATTATAGAGGAGGAAGGAACACAGAAATGCTGGAATTTTGAAATTCTGAATGACAAAAAGGCCACACGGGTTCTGGAGAAAGATAAAGGTGCCACATGGCAAAGGTCAAATGTGAGAATATTTTAGAGGAAATTAGAGTTATCTTCCTTCATACCCAAATGAAACTCAAGATTCTTGTCCTCTAGGCTTTGGCCTCAATCAGTATTCTCACCAGGAGACTTCAAAGTGTGGAGGAGCTCCAGAATGTGGAACTAGGGTCTCAGGAGGAATATGAACCCAAAACCCTGGTACACCTTCCTCTCTAGAACCTGGACCATCATCCCTTTTCCTTAAGCATGGGTGCTTGTCTCATGGCTCTCTTCGGACACATCACTATAATCTTCCTTATTTACTGTCATTACCTAGGCTCCCCTTCCAGCTCTTGTCATCTCGCTTTTCTTCCATGATGGGGGTGCCAGTCAGGGTGGATGAGTGGGAGAGCAAGCCTGATCCAGCATTGGAAATGGACATCAGAGACTTCGCTGGCCGCATGCACGACAGCTGCTCTGTCTTGCTCGGCTCCTTCCGGGAACGCTGTTGGAGTACTTTGATCATGGCATCCTTCTCAATAATCTGGGCATGTAGGGTCTTAATCCTAGGAACCAAAGACAAAGAACATATAAAGACCTTGTTGCGGCCAGGCACGGTAGCTCATACCTGTAATCCTAGCACTTTGGGAGGCCAAGGCGGGTGGATCACAAAGTCAGGAGTTCAAGACCAGCCTGACCAACATGGTGAAACCCTGTCTGTACTAAAAATACAAAATTTAGCTGGGCATGGTGGCGGGCACCTGTAGTCCCAGCTACTCAGGAGGCTGAGGCAGGAGAATCACTTTAACTTGGGAGGCAGAGGTTGCAGTGAGCCAAGATAGTGCCACTGCACTCCAGCCTGGGTGACAGAGTGAGACTGACTCCATCTCAAAAAAAAAAAAAAAAAAAAAAAAAAGATGTTCTTGCTACCTCTACATTTTGGTCTAATTGACTACATGACTACATAGAGTTCCCATCATCTTTTTGACTAAAGGTTGATCTAGTTAGTTCTGAGTTGGAAGACAAGGGATGGTGTGCTACAGTTTTTAAAACATGTTTTTCTTAAAGTATAATAATAAAAAATATATATAATATATATAAAAGATGACTTTTCATTAATAAAGGCAATAGTGTGAGAAAAAAACAACAACATGTTTTTCCGCACACCCAAATGGATACAGCAGAGCATCAGGAGCCGTTGCTTAAACCTTAGTAAGTCACAATAAAGTACCAGTGAAAAAAAAAGGCTGAATATGAGAGAATGAACTGATGTACTGGGTGCTGTAGTGAAGAATCTCAGTCGATGGAAACAATTTACGCAGTAAGATGAGATCTTCTATGAATGAGTGACAACCTTCAGGTAATAAGTCAATGATCATATGTTTATAAAAGGAATCAGGTATCCTACCTCCCACTTTGAGTAGATGTTCTTTTGTTGTTGTTGTTGAGATGGAGTCTCACTCTGTTGCTCAGGCTAGAGTGCAATGGCACAATCTTGACTCATCGCAACCTCTGCCTTCCAGGCTCAAGTGATTCTCCTGCCTCAGCCTCCTGAGTAGCTGGGACTACAGGTGCCCACCACCGCACCTGGCTAATTTTCATATTTTTAGTAGAGATGGGGTTTCACCATATTGGCCAGGCTGGTCTTGAACTCCTGACCTCAGGTGATCTGCCCGCCTTGGCCTTCCAAAGTGCTGGGATTACAGGCGTGAGCCATTGTGCCCGGCCAAGCAGATATTGTTTTACTCTTTTATTAAGCAATCTGCTGTACCACAGGGTTGCAGTGCAGTGCTAGAAAGAATACCCCAGAGTGCAAATGCCAACAATTTAAGCTCAGGCAGAGGGCAGAGGAAAAGCAATTAGGAAGGCCAAAGGGACAGAGACCCTACCTGGAATTCCATGTTTAGTGGAGAGTATCAAGGTAAAAGTCATTGTCTCTCACACCTTTAAGTGATAGGCTGGCAAGGGTGATGGTGGAGGGGGGAGACTGCATGATCAGATTTCCTAGTTGTGAATAAAGATCCTATCTGGTCTCTATATCAACGTCTCAGATTCCTCAGGGTTCAGAACAACATTTTACCTGCCCTCCATGTCAAGGCAACGCTTATTGGCCATCAAGATTTCTTCCTCTTCTTTCTGGATGCGAGCTTCTAGAGCTGTGTCATAGCTGGTGTTAGGAGAGTGACTGATGACTGTTGTGTCCCTGGGGAGGAAAATGGAAGTGATGAGATGGGAGCATAGCAAGATCAATGAATGTTATCTTTCTTCTAAGTCAAGAAAGGCTTTTCTGGAAAGTCCTACGCTGAAATCAAGCTCATCTGGAACAGATGGTTTCTGGGGAACTAACCCGTAAGAACCTCCAAAATAGGACAGTTCAGCGTTCAGGATAGAAGACAACGTTATTAGTATAGAAGTGGCTGCAAAAGTCAGTGAGGGATGAGATAGGCACAGGCTTGCCTTCAGAACTGAACAGGTATCATCCCATGTTCAGTTCTGGCAGAGAGCCCCTTCAAGTTTTTAGATCATGGCCAAGCAATAGGAATATGTATATATTGGGCCAGGCATGGTGGCTCATGCCTGTAACCCCAACACTTTGGAAGGCTGAGGCGGGTGGATCACCTGAGGTCAGGAGTTTGAGACCAGTCGGGCCAACATGGAGAAACCCTGTCTCTACTAAAAATACAAAAATTAGCTGGGCATGGTGGTGCACGCCTGTAATCCCTGCTATCTGGGAGGTTGAGGCAGGAGAATCACTTGAACCCAGGAGGCGGAGGTTGTCGTGAGCTGAGATCGAGCCACTACACTCCAGCCTAGGCAACAGAGGGAGACTCTGTCTCAAAAAAAAAAAAAAAAAAAAAGGAGTAAGTGTATATTATTTCCATTTTATTCTTATGGAAGTCATAAAGGGAGAAAGGTCAGACTTTCAAGAAAGTCAGAGGGTATACTAAGTAACTTATTGCTACAGATGAACATTGGTAAACACACCTGAGTACTAGAAGCAAACAACAGACACATCAGCTAAGATCAGGTGGGGCATGTGAGCTAATAAATAGAGCCTTTGAGCCAGTCCCACTCGATTCCTAGCTAATCTACATCTGAAACATTCTAGCACCAAATCAATGGGTCTATCCCAACAAAGTGACTGTTCTCTTGCCAGAGTTCTAACTGCATAAAGGACCATGATGTTCCATCTGAAAGTGTCTCAGGCCATTAACTCGAAGACCAATAATAAGGAAAAAAGGCGTGCATGTGTGTGTGTGTGTGGTGGGGGGCTGGGGGGGGCGGTATTAGGATTAGGGAGAATACTGATGCAATTATATTGGTCTTAAAGGAAATCAGACAATAGACTGAGAAAACAATGAACTGGCACTGCTTCATTATACTTCCTAAGAGAATGGGGATCTGCAGGAGAACTCCAGGCATGTTTTCTGTTGGTAGCTAACTATGTTCTCTTAGCTTCAAGAGTATGTCCAGTGCCGATGAGGATGAAGTGGCAAGAGAAAGGGGCAGAAAGTTGCTACTAAGGTTGGGGATTTAGGTGAGCCTCTGTAAAATTACTGTTCCCCAAAATATATGTGTACCTTATATGCAAGGTTGAAACCATGTATGGAATGATGAAATAATTGGAGAGCAAGAAGGGGAAAGAATACAATGGCTTTCATCATTTGCTAAACTCAAAGTAGTTTACCATCTCAGCATTCTATACTTTCTCTAGTGCAATTCACTGGCTTGTAGTCCTACTGGGTACCCAAGAGGAAGCAGCATTTGCATAGTGCTTGACAGCACAGGCTCTGAATACAGACAACTCAGCAGGTCCCAGCTTCTCCAAGTATTCTCTGCCCCAACAAGCTTTATGACCTCTGAAAGTCAAGTTACCTGCTCTAAGCAAGCCACTTCATATGCCAAGTGGGAACAATATTTATAACTTCATCTCATAGAGGATAAAATTATGCAGTAAGACAGTGTCAGTCATGGTAAAAACACTCAACAAAGCTATTATTAAGAGAGAACCACATAACTCAGGAGGCTGAGGCAAAAGGATTGCTTAAGCCCAAGAGTTCAAGGCTGCAGTCAGTTACGACTGTGCCACTGCATTCCAGCTTGGGTGACACAGCAAGACCACTGTCTCTAAAAGAAAGAGATTATAAAAGAAAGAGATTATATACAGAGATTACAAGAGATTCTGACTTGAAAGAATTCCAGCTCTTGGTAAAATCCTGGAAGCAATTCCTGTACTTCAGAATTCCAACGTGAAGGTTGGGGCTTTAGAGCCAGGACTGTTGAAAAGTGCATGGTGTCTACGGACACTGGGGAATTGAGCATACGGTTTGTCACTGGGGGAACTAGTGCTGGCCTGCTGCCACTTTCATCGCATAAAAGACCATTTTGGGGACTCAGAGCCCTGCCAGCTAATTGATATGGACACTGTGAACTCCTCAGGAATGGAGCCTGAAAATGTGGGGCACTTAGTGAATTCCGACAGGGCTGCCAGGGCAGCCCTCAGCATCAATCTTCCTTCTAGAAGACTAGGGCTACTAGGCTAATGGCTTAGGCAAAAGCAAGCAAGCACAATATTTGAATGAGCAACTTGACCTGCTACCTTCCAACACTCCAAGACGTTCTCTAAGAACATCAGGAGAGAGACGCTGGGCTACAATCTGAAAATAAAACCTGCAAACCCCAAGCTGCATATTCCTGATTTTGACATCCTCCACCTCAAATTCTTAAGTAAATAGTTTGTCATCTTCTTTCTACTTCTTTTCTCCAACAAAGTTATCCCATCACATTGCTCAAACTGCTTTCTAGCATGTCACCAATAACCTCCTAATTAAAACACCTAGTGGCCTTTCAAACTTCAAGCCTATCTTTTCCTATCAGCATCATCCTTTTGTTTATTTAATGTGTGAACTCTACACGAGTGGAGCACTGTGTTTGAAGTTCCTGGGAGGCTGGAGAGGGGAGAGGCATGGATAAAACTAGTCTGTAACTGTAGGAAACTTACAAGGGAAGACAAAAAAGTAAATAATTAACTAGTACAGAAGTGAGTTTGGACTTTATTCCAAAAGGTAGTGAAAATTATTAGAGCTTTCCAAGGGAATAAAATGATCTAAGCTATGCCTTAGGAAGACGACCTTATCTCTCTTAGAAATGTGACAGAGAGATAAGAGAAGTGAAACCCTGGAATCAGGCAGACCAGTCAGCAAGGTGATTGTAATAATCCCAGCAACAGATCATGAAACTATGCACCAGCGAAGTGGCAAGAGAAATGGAAACGGCTGTAGGAAGTAGAACTGATACAATTTGGAGACAATATCAATGTGGGAGTTAGGGAGATGGAAGAATGAATGACAACTTTGTTATTTCGAACTCAAATGCCTAGAAAAAATGAAATACTGTTTGCTGTGAAAGGAAACTGAGGAACGGCTCTTTTGGAAAGCACTGCAATGGGTTTTGATTTTAGGTACACTGGAGTGAAAGTTACTTAAGAATTGCCATATGCCAATATCTAACAAGTTGGTCAAAATTCTAACTTTAATTTTAGAGATATCAGAGTTACTATTACAGTTATTATCACTGCTATTATTACTGAGAAGCTAGAGCAGAAGATATAACTAAGACAGAAGAATAGAATGAGAAGAAAGCAGAGGAAGGAAATTGAGAAATGCCTACAAAGAGGGAATAAGTAGACATGCATTATGTGTGTGAACAGCTTCTACCTTCTGCTTCCCCCTTCTTTACTTCCTTCTTTCCAGAATTTACTTTTGCTCAAAATAAACATGAAACATTACACATTCTGAGAAAGGCAGTAACCTAATTCAGTAAATGCAAACTGATAAAAATTGCATGGTTGATTGGGTGCCTTATCTTGTCATCCTTTTGCTGCTCTTCAGGAATAAATTCATTGTTTATGAGCTGAAACTAAAAATCTGCATTGCCAAATTGGTTCTTCTGCAAATGAACAGGGACTCCTACTCAGTAGGAATTTCCCCTCATCTATATTAAACATCTAGAGAGGGCTCCCTAGGGACAAAATAATATGGAGCCTTAATTCAGGCCATATTATTGTGATTATTTATAATATTTCCAGGTAACTAAATAATTAGCTTCAATTAGCATCTTACTGAACAGCTAATAATCCCTATTATTACCATCTTTGAGCTACACCATTTCTAAGAAGCAGCAGAGTTATAGCAGCTAAGGTGACAAAAATATAGATTTAAATCCTAGTTCTTCTGTCATTTAGTAGCTGTGTGTGATCTTGGGCAAATTATCTAACTAAAATGAAAGAAATAAATGTCCTGTTATCACTTTCAACAAAACAAATATTTTAAGTATCAAATACTCATTTTAGATATGCCAAAATATCTTAATTTACTATCTAACTATCTATCTATCTATCTATCTATCTATCTATCTATCTATCTATCTAAAATAAAACATAAGAGTTTCTAAGTATCAACACTCATTTTAGATATGCCAAAATATCTTAATTTACTATCTTTAACTATCTACTCATTCATCTGCTCTCCATCTATTCATTCATCTAAGTTCATCTGCCCACTATCTATCTATCTATCTATCTATCTATCTATCTATCTATCTATCTATCTTTTATCTCTCGGCCCTCTTAACCTTTCATCAAGTAAAATTCACCTAAACATACAACTGACCAATCTCACAGAGTTGCTGTATCTGATGTTTAAGATGGATCTCAGGATAAAGGACAATGCCAGCACTTTCCATATGCATCAAAATGCCTCCTCCTGGACTCTTTAAGGCTAAAAACCAATATCTAAGTGTTGGAAGGGGTATAAATAGACCACCTAATATGACTTATCACCTGAGAAAAGACACTTGCCTATTCTTATATTTTATTATTCACAATGGTCAAAAACTGGAAACAATCCAAATATGCATATATCCAAATATGCATACATAAACTGTGATACATCCATACCATGGAACACTACTCAGCATCAACTTGGATGGGTCTCAAAATCATTGTGTTGAGTGCAATATGTCAAAGAAGAGTAAATGCAATATGATTCCTTTTATATGACATTCTAGAAAAGAAAAGTATAATTTTGTGACAAAATAACAGATTAGTCATTGCCTGGGGTCAGGCATGGGAGGAAGCGATCAAATTCAAGGGCACAAGAACACTTTACAACAGGTCCTCTATGTTAATTGTAGTGGTGGTTACACTGTTGTATACAATTACCAACATTCATCAAACCATACACTTACAACACGTGATTTTTTAATATGTAACCAATATCACAATTGAAAAAAAAAAAATTGCTTTCTCCAGCTATCATTGATACCACCAAAGCAAGATGTCCTAATTGTGAAATCTGTCATTTACCAATGAGCCATTAGGTTTGGAATATATTAAGCTTGAGATCCTGGTAGAATACACAGAAACCAAGCAGATCATTAAAATGTGGCACCAGATTTAGGGATATAATTTATACATTTAGAAATTGTTTCCTTCCTGCTTTCACATCTTCCTTTCTCCTTCCTGCCATTTTTCTTCTTTCTTTTCTTCTTTCCTTCCTTCCTTCCTTACTCAAATACACTTGAGCACTTTCCAACTGTAGCCAATATCCTAGACACTTAAAAATTATTTTGAGGCTGGGCGCGGTGGCTCACACCTGTAATCCCAGCACTTTGGGAGGTCGAGACGGGTGGATCACAAGGTCAGGAGATCGAGACCATCCTGGCTAACACAGTGAAACCCCGTCTCTACTAAAAATACAAAAAATTAGCCGGGCATGGTGGCACATGCCTATAGTCCCAGCTACTTGGGAGGCTGAAGCAGGAGAATGGCGTGAACCCAGGAGACGGAGGTTGCAGTAAACTGAGATAGCGCCACTGCACTCCAGCCTGAGCAACAGAGCGAGACTCCTTCTCAAAAAAAAAAGAAAAAAAATTTTTTGAAAGAAAAGAAAATATTAAACTTTTACCATGGAAAGGGGCAAAGGGCAGAACCTTGGTCAATAGGTACATTTAAGACTGAGAGAAAGAAGAGGAAAACAAGTAGACAAAAGGAATAAAAAGAAATGTTGGAAAGAAAGGCAGAAGAGCCCACAGGTTTTGAAATAAAGTTTTCTGAATGTTACCACCCAAATATAAAATCTCATTTGAAAGGAAAGAGGAAAAGAAAACCAACCTCCATGGTAGAACATAAGAGGCACTATCATTGGAAGAGTAATATAATCCTGGAAATAGGAAGGTCTGAAGGAATCACCTAATCCAATTCACTTATTTTACAGAAATTTCAATACAGTCTGTCTGCCAGTGTCTCCTGTGGATTAGATTAGTAGCATGCCAGAAAGACACACAGTCCTGATCTGGAATGTTCGCCTGTGGGACTATCAGAAAGTGTTCTTTCTAGGTGGGAACAGGCTGTGCTTTATCCTATTGAGTGATAGGCATGCACATTTTGACAAAAACAGTGATTAGATGAAAAGTTTCTACCTGATGATTAAAGGGAATTCAGTTTAAATTAAATCTATCTTGTGGGAGCCAATAGATTCTGAAAATCCATCTGAAAGGGGTTTCCCCGAATACACAAAGCTTTCAAAGGAGGAAGGAAGGTAGTTTCTTTATACAAAGCCCCAGTGACAACCCCCTAAGCTCTCCTGCATTTTGACCTGGAGTCTATTCTGAAGTAGGAACCATGAACCCTAGCTTTCTAGTGTTTTCTCACACTGCACACTCTCATGACCTGAACATTTCTAAGCTTCTCCCTAAAGGTGACAAAATTACCCTGTATCTTTCCACCTCTCAATAATAACAATGCTTTTTTAACGTCAGCGTTTCTTATATAACCTCTGAACAAGTGCTAGACACAGGTGTTTCCTTGGGAGCTAGCAGGTAAAATTACATTTAATTCTGCTTCTAACCTGCCTACAAACTTTGAGACCATCTTCTGGCATAGCTGGGCCTTCTGTGCACTCTATTGCCACACTGCCATGTATTGAGTATGCCTTGCTTAGGAAACAAGGCCAGCAAGCTTAAGCCCATGAGGACTTCAAAATCAAGCCACATGCAGCTTCCATCCATTTGAGGCATAGATGGTATCTAATGAAGTCAAGCAGATCACATTAGAGAGACATGTCTTCCTAAAGAATCGAAGTGGGCTTACAAAGCACCGGTTCAGCTCTTAGCACTGAACCTCCCCACCTCTGATTTGGCATGAGACGGACTCAAAAATAAATGTATCCACCACCCCCTCCACACACATATACCAACCCAAAGTCTGGCAAGCACTTCCAGACTCTGCTGGCTTACCATGTTTAGGAGAATGTTAAAAACAACACTGTGGTTTTTAATAACTTTCTGGGTAGAGACCTATCTGGGTGCAATATGTTGTAGCCTGACTTTCATACCCAATTCCAGACCAAGGCTCTGTTATCGCCACAACTCAAGTCATCACCTGACTTGAATTCAGTTTTTGTTGTTTCTCTCTCTTTCTTCTTTTCTTTTTACCCCAACTGATGATTATGAGCAGTAGCAAGATAGACACATGGAGTAACAGCAACTATTTCCTCCAAAGGCCAATAATGAACTTTTATAATTTGAAAAGGGGAACAAATAAGAAGCAAAAAACAAAAATCCTCCAGCCACATTCTCTCCCTTACCAGATGAAATGTGACTGCTCACACGTGATGAGGTCGTGCACATAGAGAATGCAGCCTTCAAATATTGACCTTCCCAAAGGGCAGGGATGGGTTCAAGTTCAGCACAGCCTTTGACATACCTTGGACAAGCCAGAGCTATCAAATGACAGCAGCAACTCCTCAGTGACATTTAGTTTCTGAGTGGTAGTTTCTCTGGAGGGGCTTTCACTCCCGTCCTGGGGCTAAACAACTTGCATATGTGGCTGAAAGAACCTTGTGGCGCTGGGGAAGGAGGGGTGCAAATTTACAGCTGATCCCATCTGCAATTATTCTGGCTTCTGGGGAAAGCTGAACTATGATTCTAATAAGTTTATAAGACAACTTTTATGTTCAAATCGCTGACTCTCTGTCTCTACAGCCGTTCAGTCCCTGCATAACCAGATGGAAGAAAACACACTTAGGCAGAAACGGGGGGGGGGGGGGAACCCAGAATATTAAAGAAAATAAAACACTGGAAAAATCTATGAATCAGTGACCTTTCTGTTCTTCCCACTCATGCCCTACCAGCTAACTACTTACCTCTGAGCAGCCACGGTTGCAGCAGCATCCAGAGCGAAATGTCTCATCACATTCTCCTCCAAATATTTCTGCTCCCACTTTGTCATATCAGCTTCCAGAGCCAGAATCCTCTCCTCTTTCTCCCGAAGGAGCTCCATCAGCGCAGCGGCATTGTATTCTGAAACACTGGTGGGCTGACAGTTGCCCTGACGCTGTTGGGCCAGATGCAGAGAATCCTCAAGTGAGTGAGAGAAGAACCATGGTGTCTGAGCCCCTATTCTTGGAAAGGATTACTGCCCAGCCTACTTCTGTTTCGACTCTGATTCAGAAAGAAGCAGGGGGAATTCAGATCTCCTCCTAAGGCCACAGGACTTCCTATCATGGGCTTGAATGTGAGATTCCCTTGGCCAGGAAAGGGGCCTGTCATATCAAACTGTCATGCTACTCAGAAAGTGAATTAATGGGCTAAAAACTGCCATCCCTGCCTGCCAGCATAACACACAATAGAAACGAGAATTTCAAAATCTGGCCAGGCACGGCGGCTCGCACCTGTAATCCCAGCACTTTGGGAGTCTGAGGCAGGCGGATCACCTGAGTTCGGGAGTTTAAGACCAGCCTGGTCAACATAGTGAATCCCCGTCTCTACTAAAAATACAAAAAAAAAATTAGCCGGGCGTGGTGGTGCATGCCTGTAATCCCAGCTACTCGGGAGGCTGATGTAGGAGAATCGCTTGAACCTGGAAGGTGGAGGTTGCAGTGAGCCGGGATCATGCCACCGCACTCCAGCCTGGACAATAGAGTGAGACTCAGTCTCAAGAAAAAAAAAATCTAGGATTTAGTTCCTATCTTGCCCATAACTTGTAGTTATCATTAGCAATTTATGCCAACTTTTCCTAGTCTTGATTTTCATTCATCTAAAACTGAAGAGTGGTATGGCCAGATGATTTCTGAAGACCATTTCTAGTTCTACAATATCAAGGCATGTATTTGTGTAGCAGCTCTAATTCTTACAGCATCTACTGTTCCTGGAGTTCATGTGAAAATAAAAGGTGCAAGATCATAGGCTTAAAGGATATTTCTGGGATAGGAAGCTAAGGAAACAGACTTTGTATTCACAATTGGGAGGCACTCTGGAGTAAGATTAGGTGGGAGAAAAATGTAAAGATGAGCAAGTGTGTGCTTTCAGTGTTCATGTCAAATGCCAACTGAAAAATAAGCAACCAGGAATAATGTCATTTTCTTGACTTTTTTTCCCCTTTCTTCCTTTAAGTTCTCCATACCTGCTGGATTCTCAGGGATTCCAGTTCCCTCTCCAGTCGTGTCCGGAGACGGTGCTCTAGCTGCTCACGTTTTTCACATGCTGCCTGGAGCTGTACAAGGGCTTGCTGCATCTTCTCCACCTTGTCAACGTACACTTGCTTCTTTTTCAGCTGGAAATCCACGTTGGGTAATTTGCAAGGTGAAAGGAAAAACAGCAAGCAACAGGGTCAATTATGTATCCCCCAAATCCAGCCTTGTGTTTAGATCTCTTCTTGTTTTAGAGTCCAGTTGCAAAAAGGAATGGATGGCGAGAAGGTCCTTCACGGTGAGGAGCAGGCTGCCTTGTACTGCTCATACAGAGAATGTGAAGGAATTGAGAGTCCCTTTTAAACCTCTTCCTTCTTCCCCATCTCTATATCTTTCCAAAGTCTACTCCTATCAGTACCATCTATGTTAGATGGCCAAGTTTTTCAGATTCCCGATTACGCACATCCTTATCTCTGGTCTTTTTCACTCTCATATGGAATATTCTTGGGGAAGGCATATCTTATTTTGGTTATTGCATTAGGCAAATGCTTTAAAAGGGGGGATCTCCAGGAAGAAAGGTTTGCTTTGGTATGGAAAGGAAGCCCACCCCCTTTTATGTAGCTGTCTCTTCTCCAAGTGGGAGAAAAAGAGTGATTAACTGCTGAAGGTACAAGGTCAGAATTGTCTTTTTGAAGTCTTTGGTCCTGGTAATCACCCCATATAATCCATCACTGCTCTCCTGGGAAGTTTCTGCTTCTCAAAAAGTAAAGGTGTCATGCGATGGTTCAAAAGCCTTTACCCTCCACATTGCCTAGCACTGCCTTGCTAGTTCTTTAGGTTATTTGTGATTGCTACTTCATGAGCCTGAATTGGAGACACTGGGTTATAGTCTCATAACTTTTATTCTGGAACCATAAAAGATCCCGAAAGCCTCAAACTAATGACTCAAAAGTGAAACTAAATGAGTCAAACATTATTATTTCTCTTTGCAAGCCTATAAGCCATATCCAAAAGCAAATGAAGAAGCAAGCAGGGAATAAGAGTGTGAGTTCTTTGTAACCTTGTAGCTTAGAAGCAAAAGTTTGGCTCTATGCAGATGAAATAATGAGAAAGATCTCAGAGCTCTTTAAAGAAGATATATATAATCTATATCTTCTTTAAAGATATAGATATAGATACATGTATATCTTCTTTAAAGATATAGATATATATCTATATCTTTTTTAAAGATATCTTTAAAGAAGATACACACACACACACACACACACACACACACACACATACACCTATGGTATATCTATCTATCTGTCTGTCTATATCTTTAAAGAAGATATGGGGAAACTACAAGCTTCCCAACTTGTTAACAAATAAGCAGATGAAGCTTCTTGTAACACTTGTGGGGTCCCCTCAATGCTAATAAATCAACTCATAGCTGTTTCCAAAGCAGAAACTCTTCCAAGTGGGGCACGTCTGTCATTATCCTTCTGATGGAAGTTGATGTTAGGGACACTTTCACTCTTCAGATAAAAATATGAAAATATTATTGATAACCTAGTCAAAAAGAAATTCAGGCATCTGATTCTGACTTTTCAACAAATTCCCAAGCTCTTGAGTTACCTAGGCAGATAACTGCAACATAAGAAGTTACCCACCCTACCAGCATTGCCTAACAGCCACTTAGCTGGGGCCCAGCTGGCAGAACCAACCTGACTCCCTCATTGCAGAAACCTTCATGGTAATGAGTCCAAATCACTACTTGGTAGAATTTCCAGTCAGACAGCACTAGCATGTACTAGTGGAAAAACCTTCTTGTCTTATAATGGCCCCCTCCTCAAATTAGAATTGCTGAACTTTCTCTAAGTCAAAGGAATCCTATCTTGTATTTTCCTACCAGACCTGTACTATGCCTTGCCTAGGTGACTGGAAAATAAAAACTTTTTCTACTTTTGTTGTACTTCCTTGACATTTCCTTTCATTCCAAGTCTAGTTCAATCTAGCCTTATAAACCAGTTGAGGTGAGTTCGAAGCCTAGATGTTTTTATCCATTAGAACATTTCCTAGGAAATAAAACAAACAAAACACCATCACTCTCTTTATCTCAATAAGTTTAAACCTTTCTTCCCCGGGGTTTGTGGCTGTTTATAACAACATTGACTAGGGCAACCAAAACTTTTGCCTCTGTCTTCCTATTTGCTAAGCTTGGAATAATTGAAGAGAAGGAAACATCCTCTATCCTTCACCTTTTGGGTCTTATAATCCTTATGAGCAATTTAAAGCTGAATGCATTTATTTGTGAATCGCTCTGAAAGCCCTAAGGGAGCAGGGCAATGTTAATAGAGAGAAAGTTAACTATAATTACTAAGGCTTACAGCAGTTATACTTAAAGGCAATTAAACTTAGATAGCATGCAGTTCTTGCCTTGGTGGTAAACTACTGCAATGCAAGCTCAGAAAACTGAAAAATAAGCAATCCAGGGCCGTGTGGATTTCTTGAGAAAGGAAACCAAAGTATCCTAGCAAAAGCACCCCCGCAATATAAGTCACTGAGCCAACTCTCTGGAAGGGAAATGCAATAAAGGCCCGGGGAGTTGTCTGAGTTGGCTGAAGATAGGCATGCAGGTCAGATAAATACCACAAAGCAAGCCAAAAAATATCCCATTTTGATTTGCCACTGGGATGATTTTCCACAAGGTAGCAGGACCATTGTGGCTGGCATAGTTCTCCCACCTCATTTAAAATGAGAAAAAGTGCAACTCACCCATAAACATCATAATCACCTAGTAAATGCCTACTCCCTAGATAAGTTAAGGTAGAAAAAGACAACTCTTGCATGTGACCAGTGCAAGATCCTAGAGATGCAATCAACAAAGCCAACCATCTTCTAAGTTACACTCTCTACATTTTCTAGATCTTATCTACATGTAAAAAGGAACAAAGACCTACATGCTTTATTGACTCCATTACTATCTTGGACGTTATGTGCTTCACTTTTACCTTAGTCATGACAAATCACCATGTATCTTTATATGAATCAAATGAGATGATGCATTAAGTGCTTAGTAGAGTATATGGTACAGAAAGTACTCCAGGTTGTTTGTTCTTTTTTAGAGAAAAATTAATACCAAGTCATACACATTCCAGTCCTCTGAACTTTGAACACTCCCTCCAGATATCCTTGACATGGCTATCGTTCTCTTAGTAACTCTAATGATCACCTCATTGTCTAATTAGACAACACAAATATAGCGATTTCCCCACAGAAAGACATATAACATTAGGCCTCAAACACTTTATGCTGTAGATATCTTTGGATAGCAAGTTGTTCATTGTAAATACAATTAGAAGCAACCACTGAGTAGCTGCAAAGATACCATATTTCTCTCCAAATGACATGATTTGCAAGGTACCTCTACTTTAGGAGAAAGAAATATTTTACCTAAGATCAAAAGTACTATTTAAATAAAGACCCTTAGGCAAAACTAATTCTCTTTCTCTCTTTTTCATTCTCTCTCTTCCCTCTTTCTCACTGTGTTTGTATGTGTGTGTGTGTATGTGACACACACACAGATATACATATCAGAAATTTCTATCTGATAGCACAATGAAAGGTAAAGGAACAAGCTGACAATCAGGAGACTTGGGTCCTAGTCCTATCTGTGCTATTAATAGCAACTTGCTTCTCTATTCTCAGCTACAGAGATCTCATTTGTTTAAAAAAAATGAAGGGGGTTTCAGGAGTCAGCAAACCAAAATGGTCAGCAGCCGCCCAAATCCAGCCGTGTCCATTGATTTTGTCCATAGCTGCCTTATAGCTACAATGGCAGTCGAGCAGCTGGAGTTGCAACTGAAACTGCATGGCCCACAGACCCCAAAGTATTTACAATAGGGTCCTTTAGAGAAAAGTTGGCAAACCCCTGGAGAGGTCTTCAGATGGTGATGCAGAGTCCTAGTGTTTGGTGGAGGTGCTTTAGGGGCCACTATAGTGGGTGGGTTACATCAGACAGTTCCTCTTTTATGTGCTTTACGTATTAGGGTTCTATTTAAAATTTCACTTGAAAAAACAATTGTCAGAGCTTTGTGTGTGTTATATTCATGTTCACTTTTGTTGTCTTATATCTGTCTTCCCTAGAGAATGGGCCTTCCACCTTATTTCGCTCCATCATCTTTTCATACTTGATGCTTCAGTACAGTTACATAGCTTAAGGTTACTGAATAGCCCATAATATTTCCCTCACTGCCTCTGGAGGTGATATTCTCTCTCTTAGGAATGCCCTGCCCCACCAGGATTTAAGAAGTTAAAAAAAAAAAAAAAAAAGCAGGGCTAGATACGTGATCTCAGAAGATCTATAAGAGTCTTTAACTCCCAAATAGGTTATGAATCAGAATCCCCTTCTCACCTTCAACACTGACCAATATCCAAGAGGGCTCAGCCAAATGGGGTCCTAGAATTCTGTACTGACACATTCTTAGAGGTAAAAACAAAAGTTTTGCTTTAGTTTGTGTGTATGTACATGCAAGAGACATACCACATAATGTGTGGTTTTGTCATAAGACCCTAGATGATTTATTTTTCTGTTTTCAGTGTTCAAAGAACTGAAGGTTCACTTAAAAAGTTTCCAAAGCCAAGACAGTGGTTCGAGTGTTTGTGCATAATATGAGTTGTGAGGACCACAGATTAGTGACTCTAGTTTCTAATCTAGAGACCAGTACCCATGAGCCCTAAAGATTCTAAGTAAATCTATCATTTAAGCCAAATCCCTCCTGAACATTCAGTGAATGGAGGGAATCCTTTATGTATTAAAGTTTTCTTACAAAATGCCAACTTTCAAGAAGTTGTCAAATCCTTTCCTTGCTTTCTCCAATTCTGTGTTTTCTTAATGTAGACCCCTACACCACTTTTACTCCCTGGCTTGATCTTTAGATCCACTTTCTCTCTAACCCTAACCTGACTCCCACCTCCTACTGTACTCCAAGGTCCAATCTATGGTAGTTTCCTTTTTTTGGCTTTATATGAACGGTTTTCAACTGGGGACAATTGCCCCCCCACTCCCTACCATGCCCAACTCTCCAGGGGACATTTTAGCAATGTGTGGAGACATCTTTGGTTGTCACAACTGGAGGTGGGGTGCTACTGGCATTTAGTG